AGGTGCTGTTCCCACATAAACAGGTTGTTATCACTTATTAATATTAACTGTAAATTAGGGTTCTGAAAAATAGGTAATCCCTCTAATTTTATCCAGGTTGACTCTGGACTAAATTAAATATTATCATAATTGAGATGCTACTATAGTTGCTATGTTCTCCAACCTGAATTAAAAAATACTTTTACAAGTAAAGCAATAGATGTACCAGGGAGAACTTGGAAAAGGAAAGAAAGCTTACCATCCATTTGTTACAGTGTGCCATGCAACATCACATTCCAAAGAGTACAATTTTATTTCTAACATGACATCACTAAAAAAGAAGTTGAAGAGAGAAATTCTGTTCCAGTGTCTCATTACTTGCCCCTTGGCACATTAATTCCCAAAGCTGTCTCTAAAAGGAGGGGACTAGATGAGAGAATCAAGAGCATTTGCCAGATCCTTCACTGAATCAGGAATTTCTTAGACATGAGCTGGATAGTAGAACTCACACATGTTACCCAACTGGCAACATGAGCAAAGAAATGATACAAGACAATAGCTGCCTCTATTAGTCAGGACCACACCACAACCTTACTGATTGCATATTCTTCAACTGGAAACACTTAGCAAAAAAATAACAAAGGAAGCCTTACTTCACAGCACCATCAACAGAACTTGAAGACCTACCAAGCAGAAAGGTTATCTTTCAAAAACAGGCCACCAGATTTTCAGTTTGGTTCCCATTCAGCTAAGTCAACAAGAGTCACAGTAAGAAAAAGAACAAACAAACAAACAACAAAACCAATCAAACTTACATTATCAGCCAGAACTTCCCACTGAGCAAGTTTTACGTAATTTCTCTGCTCTCCCAGCATATCAAGATAAGGAAATTCTGAATTCTTTGCAGCTGACCTGATGAGCCTTGTAATTAGGACATGCAGTGTGGTCTTTGGGATCCTTAAGAGCACTAACCCTTTCACTGCCAAGCTCAAACCCTATTGTAACTCAAAATGAGACTCCCGGTGGGAATTATTATTTGTGGTTTGAGTGCTTCACAGAATCACAGAATGGCCTGGATTGGAAGGGACCTCAAGGATCATGAATCTCCAACCCCCCTGCCACATGTAGGGCCACCAACCTCCCCATTTAATCCCCCAGGTTGCCCAGGGCCTCATCCAACCTGGCCTTGAACACCTCTAGGGATGGGGCATCCGCAACTTCTCTGGGCAGCCTGTTCCAGCAGCTCACTACTCTCATAGTAAAGAACTTCCCCCTAAATCTCTCCTCCCTCAACTTAAAACCATTTCCCCTTGCCCTGCTGTTATCTCCCCTTTCAAAGAGTTAACTCCCCTCCTGTTTGTAATCTCCCTTAAGGTACTGAAAGGCTGCAATGAGGTCACCCCACAGCCTTTTTTTTCTCCAGGCTGAACAAGCCCAGCTCCCTCAGCCTGTCTTCATAGGGGAGGTGCTCCAGTCCCCTGACCATCTTTGTGGTTTTCCTCTGGCCCTGCTCCAGCAGCTCTCTCTTTCTTGTAATGGGAGCTCCAGATCTGGACACAGTACTCCAGATGGGTCCTCACAAGAGCAGAGTAGAGGGGGACAATCACCTCCCTGTACCTGCTGGCCACTCCCCTTCTGATAGAGCGCAGGATACCATTTGTTTTCTGAGCTGCAGGAGCACACTGCTGGCTCATGTTAAGTTTTTCATCCATCAGGACCACCAGGTCCTTCTCTACAGGGCTACTCTCAAGAACTGCTCCTTCCAGTCTGGAAGTCTTCCAGCCTAAGGCAGGCTGACTTTGCTAGTGCATACTGTAAACACAAAGTAATCACTGCTCTTGGTGGAACCCAACAGAGGAGCAGTCTCCCTGGCACCTTGCAGATGTGTACCAGTATGCTCAAGGTCAAAAGGAGTCAGAATGCTATTCCCTCTTCCTCTCCGTTTCTCTTTATATTGTCATCTTTTTAAGACCATTGACATTCTGCTTGTCATCTTGATCTTCCCTTGGACATTTTGAGTGTGAAGCTAACTCAAAGCTTTTGTTCAAAATCCTTCTTGAAACTCTATTTTTCTATTTTGCAACAGAGCAAAAACTCAGCAAGCATTGAATTGCTGATTTGCTACGTTAAATCTCCCAGACAAAAAAAAACAAAAACAAATGCTGGTTTATGTACCTTAGCAACATTCATTCATCCCTTGTCAAAGGCAAAGACAAAATTGACTACAGGACCATTCGGTTCCATCATTTTTATTACATGTTCCTGGGCTTTTGCTATTTCATTCCAGGGCCCAGGATGAATTTTCTCACCACCACCCTTATCATGTAACTGGGCTTTTTGGTATGGCTTTTTCTCTTGAAGAACTGGAGATTTCCACATTGAGGGAAATGTAGCACTGTTTGCACTGATGCACTTTATGGTATCTTTCAAGTGCCAGATTGATGTGTTTTTCATATTGACTCAGAGTTAAACTGATGTCAGACCATTTCTAGCTCAGATTGGCAGGAATTGTTGAATTAATTTGCCTGACTCTGTACCAGAAGGGACAGAGCATTCTGGGATTTTCTAGGAATTTTCCTTAATGAAAAAAATTATTCTTTGAAGCCTCAGTGATGTTGACAGTATCCATCTTCTCTTCTGTTGTAATCTGCTGGTTGTTAATTTGTGGCTTTTCCTTGTCTTAACACTGGGCTTCAAGGTGACTACAGAAGAGTGTTTCATGGTGAAATTTTGGCATGTCCACTTTTAGCAAATATTACACCAGTGCCCTGCCAGCAGAGCCACGTGGTCACTTTCTCAGCCAGCTGTCACACATAGGCCAGAAAGCCATGGCTCTCTGCTAAGATTATGATTTTGTATCAGTAAAGCCATTGGTCTGAGGGAGTCCTGGCCTTTCACAAGATGATTTGTAAAGAAGGTTTGCTGATAGAGGAGACAGAACTATGGTCTTTACAACCTGTCTTTACAACCTGTCCATTCCCCCACTGACCTGAAACATACCAAGAAGCACTGGTGTTGGATAGAATTAACTACCACATGGTCACAGTGCTGAACATCTCCCTTACAGTGGTTGTAATAGCTCAGTGTGAAAGATATGTAGAAAGGAAAATCATCACCTTTGTGAGTCATATGTCCCATTCCAAACCCAATTTAGGCAGCAGATAGGCACGTTTTTGCACTGGGTTAGCCCTGGGGTCAGAACCAGCAGCCTACTTATGGTCAGAAGTTGTACATTCTGTTACACATTTCTGTTAAAGGTAAAGAATTTGGTATTTTACATATTCTGTGGGTATACATACATTTCTGTAAAAATCAGGTAATAGAGGATTTGCAAAGGTACTAATGGGTTTAATGCATGTGAAGTAGCTTAAGAATCTCTTGGCAAGAGAGACTCTTAAAAAGAGAGATTTTGTATTTTCCAAGCGTATGTTATAGAAAGTGGCTCCTAGGGAGACAAGAACTTTTTGAAGACCCTAATTAATAGTATTTTGGCATCCATAGTACTTCCTCTTCCTTTTAGCAGTTTGATGCCAAGAATTTCCCATTCCACTAGTGTCCAATAAATCTTAAAAAAAAAAATTCCAGTGACTGTTGGAGGTATTTGGAGGTATCTCTGCTTACTTGATGACTAAAGCAGCTAAAACCTTTTCATTAGTTCTTCCAATAGCTTTTCCTTTTGAAATATACAGGTTTAACCCCCAAAACAAAGTGGCTGACTCTTCTATCAGCAGATAGAATGTTTTGAACCAGCACAAAACTGCATCAGCACTCTGCTAGTTTAAGTCCTCCATGAGATCTCATGGTTTTATAAACAGAAAATCTGCTATACATGTCCCAGACTAAAAGGGCAGAGAAAGTTGTAATTACTTTCCCTGGGGCAGAGAGAAGGTCAGTGGGAAGGCCAGGGCAAAGTCTGGGGCTCTGGACTCCCACTCCTTGGGTTGATCTTGCTGCTGTGCACCAGCTTTGCCTTTGTAAGAGGGCTGGTGGGACTCAATAAGCCATATCTGACCAGTGAGTAGTGACTAGGGCTTGTGAAAGGTTCTTTCAGTAACTGACTGTTACAAAGAAAGCACACTCAGTGTACAGACATCCCGAATTTTTGAAACCTCTGAGATAAATATAATCCTATTTCAATTTGCAAGTTATCACAACCAATTTCTGTATGTCTTCAATATATCTATGTAACATTTGTAAAGACTCCATTGAAATATTTGTATTTAATAGTACTGAGAAACAAGGCCTCCGTAGAGGCACAGGTTGGATGTCTTCTTATTTTACTTTCACACAGAGCAGCAGGAATTCTCTGATGCCAGTAGAACTACATGGTTATGGCTCTGGTGTGAGGTCTATCAGACCTGAGAAAAACCCTGTGAAATGAGTCCTATCACTTCAGAGTGGAAAAGATTGTCATCCACAGATAGAGTCATACTGAAGTACAAGGTCATACTGAAGTACAAAAACTAGGTCTTTACCATTCATTAAGAAATGTTTAAATAACCCTTAGAAAATCCAAGACAGATGTAGGTCTGAACATTTCTTGCTATTGGTTGAACAAAGGACTCTATGTTGACTGTCATGTTAACTTGACTGGAAATTAAAAATTACTTTGCATTTTTCTCATGTTCTTTTCCTTTCTCCAACTTCAGTATTCTTATAAATAGTTCTGTTTACAGAAATGGTCCATTCTCTGCTTTGTTCTTTCAGCTTTTTGCCAACATATTCTAACTAGAACATGACTGTGGCACAAACACAAGAAAGCAATCACTGCTTAGTGGCAAGGCTGTGGATAAAAGAACCATGGCTCAGTATGCTCCCGGCAGTGGAATGATCATCTCTATCATGCTGCCCTCAAGAAACCACTTTATTGATGGCCACTGTATTGCTCCCCTCAAATGCACAGCCACATTCTTAATTAAAAAATCCCACATTTTTTTAATGTTAATTTTATCCTTCCCCTGCCCAGGTCAGTCTAGGAACACAGTGTTGCATTTCATGTAAAATTTTCTTTTCTTTTGCAGGCTCTGAGCAGCAGTCTGTATAAGAGTGCATCTCCTTATGGCTCTCTTAACAACATAGTGGATGGGTTAAGCTCCCTCACTGAGCATTTTTCTGACCTGTCCCTTTCCTCAGAAGCTAGAAAACCCAGCAAGCGGCCACCTCCCAACTACCTGTGCCACCTCTGCTTTAACAAGGGACACTACATCAAAGACTGCCCACAGGTAAGGAATATACAGTATTCTGCAGAAATTTTTGTGCAAACTTTGAACATTCTTTCATTTACTGACACAAAATTTGACTGAAACTGTTCCTTACAGTAACACTGAAGAAATGTCTTGACAAAGTGCCCAGCTAGCCATGTGTTCTTTTAATCTTTTCTTTATCACAATGCTGATGGGGGAAAAAAAATCTATTTAATTTGTCTATTAAGCATTATAAAGGATACTCATCTAGGCACATGAAAAAGTAGAATTTGAAACTTTAAAAATGGCTACTATGTAATTTTCCATCACAGAGACTGTGTAAATTAAATTTTCAAGCAGCACACCATATAGCCATTTTGGCAATGGCACTTAATAAAAAATATAACAAGTTACATATGCTAAAGGAGAAGAAATTGTTACACTGGATGGGAACTTTGAATTGGTGCTGCAGTAACACAAGCTCCAAGTGAACCTGGTGCAAAACGTCTCTTGTCTCGTAAAAGTGGTTTGCTATACTTGGCAAGATGTGATGGTCTTAGATTCCAAGAACTTTTTTTTTTGTAGTGGCAAAGCTGGCAATACTTATTTCCATAGAAAAGAGATATAAACCTGTGTGCACTAAAAGCTCTTACTGATCTGCAGAGTTTTTTTTCCCCCTGAGGTTCAAGCCACAATGTGCGAGGCTTCTCCATGCTCTCAAGTTTCAGCTGGATGTATTTGTGTTTCTGGCTTAAACTTCCACAACTCCAACTGTATCTATGTAGCGTCCCAAGGAAATTCAAGTGTTGCCAATATTCTAGAAATACAGATGTGGACGTTACTGTCATCTGCTTTACTATGGTTTTAACCTCCTACCCCCTTAATGTGTGACTTTCAGCAGAATTAATCTGCATAGAATTAACTACAGCTTGTGGCAGTTGGGGATACCAAACACACATAAGCCAAAACACAGGCAGAAAAGCATTTGCCAGCTGAGCAAGGTCAGTGTGAAATCAAGTCTAATGTCAAATGAGCTTTAACTGAGAGTATTCCAACTGCTGTTATGCATGGGCTAAATTGTTTTCTTCATGGAATTCAGCTGTATATCTTTCATTAACTCTAATGACAGCTGTGGAGTTTTAAACTACCTTTGCAGACCTACGTGTGGCACCTGAAAATACTTTTACTTCACGTTATTTCAATATATGTTCAGTAAGGCAATTCTCTTGAGGAAAACATGAAATTTCCCTTACTATAAGATCAAAAATACTTTGGTTTGTATGCTTCTTTGTTTAATGTGCTTAGTTTAGTGTGCTACAGCAATACATAGAGATAGGATTGTGTAACAGCATGTGTTGCTTAACAAGGGTTTAGAACTCCAGCTCCTAAGTGTGCTTCACAATGACGTAGTGTTGAGCTGTGGGCTGCCCTGCTGCACAGGGAGTCAAATGGATGTAAATGTCCCTCAGTGATCAGCATGTCCAAGCTGCAGCTCACACCGACGGTCACAATCAGACGTGTCAGTGCTGGAGCAGAAATGCATTGTGTATCTCACAGGTATTCTTACAATTTGTGCACTGGAGATTCAAGAACACATAATTAAAGTTGAAGATGCACCCACAAAATTTCTGAGAAATGAAAACTAATTAAGGTTCCTGTAGAAATATTGATTCACTTAAATTGCACATCCTGGGTGCATAATATTTTTCCATATATTAAGATTTCACTAGCAAGGTCTTCAATTTCTATGTGAACTGGGGAATGAAATGACTTCCTGCAGAGCATACTCCATGGCTGGCTGACAAGCCACTATTGAGAAAAGGGCTGCAGGACTGCCAGGCATCTGCTGCACCCATCCTCCTCCAGTTACAGGCAGCCATATCATGCAGCGCCTTGCGTAAACCAGTTGAGTTTTAGTTGGGAAGAGATTCATCATTTTCCTGCTCTTGAGGGAAGCTGCTCCAGAACTTAACTCCTCTCACAACTCGAAATCTTCCAGTTTCCAGGGTAAATGTAACTCGTGGCCTCTTCACAGTCATTTGTTCTCATGCCAACATTGTCCTCCACTGAAATAACTCATCTCCCTCCCTGGTGTTTATCTCAGGATGTATTAATAGACTGCAACTGTATCCTCTCTCAGCATGCGTCCTGTGGGGCCAGCTGAGCCAAGCCTCCTCAGCCCCTCACAGAGGCACCCGGCCCTGCAGCTCTCATTGCTGAGCTCTTGTGCTGCTCCGTTTCCAACGCGCACAGCCAACGTGCACATACAGCACCCAGGTCAGATCTCATCAGTGCGTGTGCTGTGCATGCACCTGTCTGCTTCTACAGACCAAAGTTAATTTCCAAATCCTACTTAAGGAGCAGGTGATAAGAAATCAGTTCTTTTTTGCAGGTATCTAACATATGCAATGTTTTATGATCTAGTGGTTTCTGAACACAGAAATGTAAGCACTTCCCTTATTTTCTCCAAATTGGAGAACAGATCTACAGGGGGTGACCTGGTGTGCATGAGCTACATTCAAAACTTTGAAAAAACTGTTCTCGAGAATGGAATAGCAACAGTGGGACTAGATCTTTAGAGAGACATCATTTGCCACCACAGCTTTGGATGGTAATTGATTTCTTAATTTCAACATTACACACACTTAATGACTTAGATTTTGATGCCTAGCTTTTCTAATGCTGTCAAAAATGAAAGCTGCTTTGCAAATCCTACGAGAAAAGGGATGCTGTTTTGCATTTTTGTACTTAGATTTGGAAACAGAAAAGAGATAAAGTAATCTGATTTGGACGAAATGCAAATCAATAAATCGTGGTATTTTTATTTTCTTTTCATGTAATTGCCTAATGCGAAGCAGATTTTGAAATGGAGTGTTTTATAGAGTTTTTCCTGCATAACAAAGAAATTGTGTAACAACTTTGAGATTTTACATCCTCCCTTAATTCTGCTTGTTACAAACACCATAAAGATGAGTGTTCTTCTTTGGTCGCTGTAAAAGTTAACAGCATACCATACAATGGAGATACATACATTGCTTCAGATTTCTATCCTAAGTGATGGTGGTGCTCTAGGAGGCTGGATAGTTCTCACTGAAAAGGTCAGCTGTAGTCAGCTATCTGCAGTTTGTCTGATATCCTGTCCAAAATAATCTGCTTGGAAACTGAAATGGAGAAAACTTTTAGTTTTTCAGTAGGTAAGAATTAATTATTCTTTAAATAGTTTCTGTGATGTTTAGTGGTAGAAATTGTCGACTTTGTTTTAGAAATGACACGAAGTGGAGCAATGTTGACTGCAATTCACCACCATGAACTTGTCTACATTTGCAAAACCTGTTGTAATTAGAACGTACACAAAAAATGCAGCACTTTCAATCTTTAGTAGCATGCAGGGATACTTGCATTTTCTCCAAACTAATTTTGCATTTCAGTGTCTTAAATGATATCATCTTACCCATACCTCTCTGAGATACAGAACCACTACGTAGTGTATTTCCAAATTTTGCACTATACCTACAGAGGAAAATGCATGTGCAAACTCATAGGAGTACAGACATATTACTATATGTAATGAGAAACAATATTAGTCTTATTTTGTGCTGTGCTTTAACTCCGAATAAAAGGTATGGCATGATTCAAATTAATGAATCCAATGAGAGCCCTTCCTTTGGCAACACTGATCTGCAAAGCAGATCCTGCAGAACAAAAGTACCTTGAGCAGACATATTCAAGTCAATGGGAGTAGCAGGTAACTGCTGTGACTGCCAGAGTTTGCACAGATTTACCTTTGTGGTCTCATGCAGGACGTGGAATAAATCAGCATCAAGTTGAGCACAACCCTTTCTCCCCAGCCTGCAGCCTGGTGTGCTGGATCGCCCTGCCCCAAAGCTGCCCCTCCAGCACTCAGGCAGAGCAGCTCCTGGCAGCACAGCTGGCTCAGCACTGCTGGCCCAACAGGCAGCTCTGGGCTGCACATTTAGAGCAGCTCTCGTGCCCTAAGCACTAATCTCATTTGTCTTGTGCCTTACGGTTGGAAAAGGCAATCAAACGTCCTCTAAATTCAAGGAGCCCACAGTTGTCCTTTCCCCAGGTACCGAGGGCTGGTTGAGATGGTAGTGGGGAATAGGCTGCCATCTTTACAAAAACAAAGATTTCACCTTTCTGGTTTTTAGCTTAGAAGTCTCAGTGGAAAACCAACTGACTGACAAAACAAAAAACCTGCAAGCCTCTTGAAATTTATTTTTATAGTGGAAGACTATATTTCAAAAAGCCCCAAAAGTTAAAGGAGTCAAATACATTACAAAATTTATTGCCGGTTGCTTACTCTTTTTCTCATATGCTTGGACTTAGCCCTGCGGAGTTTCTCAGCCTGTGAGATTAGCTGGATACATTTTCTCAGATCTTTTCTACTCTTACTAGGAAGACTTGTAGAAATCTTGTAACAAAAGTCTGGTGAACTGTAATTTAGTAACATTCACTCTATCTCTGGAAGTTTACAGTGCTTAATAGTCTGAAACATCAAAAGATACACATTGCTCTCTGCTTTGGAAATCCTGAAAACTCAGTGCATGCCATGCCTTCAAACTGTTCATCAGGAAGGCGAAGACTCAGCCAGCTGCACGTGAATAGGGGGATCCCCACAGTTCTGCCTGGAGAGAACACTCCCAAGTTCTGGGTTTGAGATGGTGCCTGTTGTTTGATAAAGCTGTTGCTTCAGTAGGAAATACCAAACCCTAAAATACCACAATAAGAGCAGTTGGTGAAAAAGAAAGCAGAAATGTCTAGTGAACTGGGGCTCTGCCCCTTTCCTGTCTAGCAGACTGCTTGATATTGCATTTCCCAAACTCTGGAAGACCAGCCAAAACCAAACCCTCCTTATGTACAATTCCTAAGGCATTATTACTTATTACTCTGGCCCAGTCTTCATTATGGATATAATTTTTTTTTTTTT